CTTTGTTCCCACAATATCTTCGACATGGGTTTGTCATGTGCTTCCCAAATGAAGCATTTGCAGCTCACCTGATCCATCTAGATCTGAAGTGCCAGGATGTCTTCCAAAGCTGTTCTCAGTGCTACAATCTGACTTTATAGGGGTTTGTTTCTGTGGACATTTGAAGCTGACCACACAAAGATGTGTGAGGAAAGTTTACAATGCTACAGTTCCCACTCACTTATTCCATGAACCTGCCATCTTTTCCAAGTGTGCTGTCATTGGTTCATTTACTCACCGGAGATGTTGTGAACCACAGGACTAGAGATAAGTAACATATTGTGTTTGTATCATCTAGATTCTGAAAGACTTGTAAATCTTCATCGATTCACCAAATTTTTATCAAGCAGCTATTGTAAGACTACTATTCTTCCAGGTTCTGATGTGGCAGCAGTAATCAAAACCTAAAATACAACAGGGCCCATCCTTGTGGAGTCTCTACCCTGACTGAGGGAGATGGACAATATGCTGAGTGCTCAGAGGTGCTGTGGAGGAAAGCGTGGCAGGATGGATATGTCAGTGTCTTTCATTGCAGATGACCAAATCTGCTGTTACTGGTCTAAACAGCAAGGGGTTTATCATAGATTACATGGAAAATCACCAAGTGCACTGGGAAAGATGTATGCCACATAGGGGAGCTCACGAATGCTGCCATCCACTGCACAGCATGGCAACCTTGGCTCCCAAAAGATAGGCTCTTGTGTTCATTTCCCTCACCTGTGCTTGGAAAGATGCACGCCTGTGCTTGGAAAATTGTAGCAGAGAGACTTCCTGGAGATGTAACTCTGACCTTTTCTGCCTCTGCATGAAGGGCAGGTTCACTGCACTGAGCTGGATGAGTCAGGCTGCATGCAGGGGAAAGCAGGCAGAGAGTGGAGGTGGTGTTGCCGGTTTGGTTATCTGTTGTAGACTGCGTTTGGCTCTTCAGTGGTAGAACCATCAGGCATGCTCCCTGCTCTAAAGATGGCCTCAAATACTCTTAGAAGACTGGCTTTGCAGCCTCACCCTCTAACACTGGGAGTGATAGTGAGTGGAACTGTTCGCTCTTCCCTCTGCAGCAGGCTGCGCCACACCTCTAGGCATGTGGTTCTTGTTTTCTGGACACCCTCCCACTGTTGTCCCACTGATGGCTGCTGTCATCTCCAGGAAGGTTTTTTTTGTATCTCCATTGCATCTCCAAGCCTCTATTGTGCTGTGTGTGAAGTAATTCCCTGTAGTATACTGCAGCGATCCACGGATGTCTGTTTCCCTTGTTTCATAAATCAGAAAGGGACTGGTCTAGGGTTCATCATAACTTCAGTGTCTCGCTCCTAGAAGACAACACATCTTTTCAACTGCCATGAATCAGATTTGCTAATTCCAGGAATTAGGAGAAAGATGGGCCTTCCAGGCAGAGGAAATAGTACATTTGAAAGTAGAGAGATGTGAGGGGGCAATGTACGCAATGCAGTGAGGGGAGAAACGGGCAGTCTGCTGCGGAAGGGGCCCTGGTGATGTCAGAAAGTCCAGGAGAGGCGTTAGGATGCGTCTCAATGCTCAGCAACTGTATTTGAGCTGATTTGAGAGCTCAAGGAAGCCAATTTGAAGGATTTTCAGCATGTAAGAGACCTATATGATCAGGTTTGTGTTGTTAAACAGATTTGTCTAACAGCTGGGTAAATGAAGGATTAGAAGAGCTCAGAGTCAAAGCAAAGAGACCATAACAAAGTCATTTCAAAATCATGCCCTTAACTCTGAAATCTCAGGAGGTGATAAGCAGAAAAGCCCAAATCATATCTATTCCCCACACATACCAGGAAGAAGGAAACAGTGTAGTACTGAAGAGACTTTGAAGATCACCGAGGCCAGCACCCACTCTGGTATATGACTGAGCAAAACAATGATTTTTCTGTGGTACCTTTGAAGATCAGGAGTTGTACCACACACCATTGGAGCACCTACCTAATTCCCCATCTAGCTCCTGCCTCGAAGATTTTCTTGTGTGTTTACTTACAGTCTACATCTCCCTAGTAGTACACTAAAATATCTAAGAGGATTTTGATGGTGAAACCTGTGTCCTGTCTATGTAGTAGGCACTTAACAAACATTTACTGAAAGGGGAAATGAACTGAACATAGTCAGATTTGCCTTACACTGAACCAGTGGTCTTTGCAGAGGGCCTTGGTTTGAAGGTTATCAAATGCACAATTCTGCTTTGCAGAAACACTCCAACAAAGATTAAATTCTACCAAGTAATGCCTTTATAGTTGGCTTCAGACAGTAAAGAAAAAAAATGATTACATTACTTCAAAACCAGTAACTACTAGCCAGCTCACACCTGTTTGGATGGCTGATAGAGAAAAATAAGAGTTGGTGAGTATGTTGATAAGTAAGAATCCTTGTGTTTGCCATTGGTGGGAATGTAAAATGATGTGGTTGCCATGGACAACAGTATGGACGTTTCTAACAACTTAAAAGTAGAATTGCCCTATGTCCAGCAATTCAGCATCTAGGGACATACCCAAGAGAACCACAAGGAGGACATCAAAGTGGTGTTTGAACACAGAATTACATAGCAGTCTAACTCCCAGTAATGTGCAAAGAACCTAAGTAGATAACCCAGGCTGGCCTTGGCAGAGGATCCTCCTGCTTCCACCCACCAAGTGGTGGGACTACACATGTTTGCTGACTTGCCTGGCTAGAAGACAGGAAATCTAACACTTACTATATCATGGCTAAACCTTGAGGGTATTGTACTAAGTTAAATAACCAGTCACATTGAGACAAATGCTGTATTTTTTTTCATTTGTTTAAATACCCAGAAGAGTCCAAGAGTCAGAAAGTGAAGTAGGAGAGGAATACAGAGCTATTGTTTTCAGGGTAGAGAGATGAAGGATACTGGAGACTGGTTCCACAACAGTGTCAATCTTTTTTATGGTACCAAACTGAAATCTTTCAATAGCTAAGATCATGTACTTTATGCTAAAACTATTCACCATGAAGTATGTATATCTGTTATCTTATTTGGTCCTGAATTGTTATGAGAAGCACATGTCTTTCCCCACCACAACCAACCTGTACTCTTTATGAAAACAGGTTCCTTGAGTAGCACACACTGGCCTTGAACTCCTAACCCTTATATCTCAGCCACCTGAGTAAGTCCTAATTTAGAGTAAGGGAAAATAGGCTTAGAGTCATAAAAAAGGATTTCATAAGGCATCTGGCTGGAGAAGGACTAAGCTGAGACTCCACATTCAGGACCTCTGATGCCATTCCTAGCACAGGCTTGTGCCACATCAGGAGAGAGGACATATGGACGGTCTAGCTGATCTGTCGACTAAAGTATAAGAAATGAACTGTTGGCAATTTGGAGAGAGAACCGTAAGCGTGTGCTGAGGTGGAGGTGTGTAGCAGGAGTGAGCTGAAGGAAAATAGCAGTGGACTTGACTGCTCACAAACTAGCTTGCAGTCACCTGCCTTCCTTCCGATGCTTGTCAACTTCCCTCCCTCCTGAAACCCTCAGAGAGCAGGTGTGAGTCAACTGTAAACATGGTGAAGGAAGGTCACACGGCAGTCCCTCAGCTGGCAAAACCCAAAGTCACTGCCATGGCAATGGTCTGTATACATGAAATAAGAAAGGAAAAAACAAAACCCTGGAATGTGATCAGGAGGGGATATGGCTCTTAGTGTTTGAAGTGATTCCATTAAATGTCTTCCTACTTCCCATGCATTTACCAAAACCAATGAGCTCTAATAGGAGAAAGTGGGACAGTAGAAAAAGTACCAAACCTATTTGGCTGGACTAGCAGACAGCTCCCGATGTAGTCCTGGACACTCCTCACTTTTACCTTCTGCCCTAGGCCTGGGCTACCACGACCAAATCCCTTTTCATATGCTGGATTTAAGCTGTTCTCCAAAGGGAACCACAAACAAGAATACTATCTGGCCTCTCATAGCTTTTATTTACCATAGTCCTACTGTGTGTCAGGCCCTCTACTGGACACTTTCTGTGTAGTAACCCCAGTCCTTCTAGTGTTCATAATATTATACAGCTGCATGTAACGTTAAGACACGGTCGCACATAGGATTTGCCTGAATGAGAAAGGGCAGAGTCAGAACTTGGATGTAGGCCTTCTAAAGTTTGCTCTCACAAAGTGTGACAGCCAGGTTATGAGGAGACAGAAGAGCATCAAGGGAGCAGTGAAGCTGCTGGTTCTACTGTTCTTCCTAGAGGCAGTCTGGATGGAGGGCAAGCTTGAAATCAATCGGGAAGTGCAAGGAAACATTTGACAAGCAAATCGGAGTATGCTTTGTGACTCCAGCAGGCCAGGATGGTGGGCAGGGCAAGGTCTCCAAGGTAATTGTTAACAACCCATTTGGTATAAGACTAGTCATGTTTGAATTGTTTTGTGTAGAGATAAAATTCCGTTATCTTCTGAGCAAACAGAGACTGTATTATGACGAGCATTTTTCTATGCCAAAGCTTATTTTAACTATTTTTTTTAAGAGAGAAGCCATCAAAAGGCTTATCAGACATCAGATGTGGTGGTGTGTGCCTTTAATCCCAGCACTCTGGAGGCAGAGGCAGGTGGATGTCTGTGATCCTGGTCTACATAGAATTCCAGGCCAGGCAGGGCTGCATATAATGAGACCCTGAGTCTCACCAAAAACACCAAAAATGTTTATGATCAATTGCTAGTACTGTCTCTAATTAGTCCTTCCATGCTGTGAGAACATCCAACATAGCCAAATTTAAGAGGGAGAAAATGGTTTCCCCCATCTATGTAGACTCAGCCTGTGCTGCTGCTGTCTACATAGATGGGAGAAACCATTAGCAGCTGCACAAGCTAAGACTGCTCGCCTGGGGAAGCATTCCCTCACGTCAGCCCTCAGAGACCTTTAACAAGGACAATGAAGCCGCTTGATCATGCTGCCCATTTTCCCAGGGTAACCAGACACTTTTCTTCCTCTTTGTGCTTCAGGAAGGGGTAAGAAACTTCAAGGAACTTCGAGCCAAATTTCAAAAGTTTGATGCCCCACCTTTCCCAGGACCGATTAAGTTGCCAACTGGTGTTTCTCGAAAGGATGACAGGGGACACACACAGTCAGCTCAGAGTCTGGCTAGTGGGAAGGGCCTCTCATCCAATCACCATCAGCCCCTGTCTTCTTCTTCCACTGAAGTGTGCCAGCCTCTTAAAAGCCAGGAAATTAAGTCGGCGCAAAGAGGTGAAATTCAGAAGAACTCACGTTCCTCGGGACCTCCGGAAAAGTCTGCAGTGTGTCCTGCAAGAAATTCCCAGGAAGCTGCCATGCCACGGAATGGAAGTCGATCAAAAGCTGAGACATCCAATGAGGAGAAAGGACTGGTCCTTAGCAGCTTCAGATTTAAGCTTTGGAACTGGGAGAAATTTTTATCTCAGAACAGTAAGATGTCCCCAGCTCCGCCTCTTACCAACTGTGGGAATAAGACCTTCCATGTGGAAAGTCAGAAAACCACAGGGCTTGCTCAGATAAAACCAGAGACGAGCCCGGAGACAACAGAAGTCCAGACCCTTCCTTCCCAGAGCCATCTCATGGTCTGGAGAAAATCACCTGTGGCCTCTGAAGCCTCCCCTTTGCCACTTCCTCAGCATGGCAGGAAAGGTACAGACAGCCCTGGTGCTGAGGAGAGCCCCAGGAGCAGCCTGTGCCAGCCTGTTTATGAGTGCGAGCTTACCAGCCCGGTTCCAGGTAAGAAATGGAGTCCCCGTGGAACTGGAGGCAAGACCATTGTGCTTTTCTCATCCCAAGCCTGCAGAATTGAAGTGTATGCAGCCTTTGCAATAGCAATAGAGTATAACTGTGGTCGGCCTGTTAAATTGTAGTCTCAGGTTTGAGCAAGTGCCTAATGCAGAATTATGTTGTGACACAGTTTGGCTGTACTTGGACTTGAATCCCAGCTCTACCTACCACAAGCTACGTGACAATGGGTGATTTAAAAACTTCTTAAACCTTAGTATGTTCTACTAGGAATCAAATTCATCAGCAGCCTTCTCTGTGTAGGAAGAAAGCACAAATGTGTCCTGTCTCAGCATAGGAACCTAAGAGAGCTGCTCCAATCTCCAGACCTTCTATTCCTTGCTTTGAATCCATCAACTACCTCTTTGGCTCTACTCTGAAAGTATGTTCAGAATCCCTCAGCTTCTGTCTTTGCCCTGGCCTCTACCACACTTTTCTCTCACTGGGCCATTACCAGCTGCTCTCCCTGCTCCCACACTCTCACCCCCTGGTGTTCTGTTTCCATGGTGAGCCTGTACTGTAGCATAAGTCAGATCACATCACTGTTGCTCAAAACCTGCCTGCCCTTCTAACATGCCTCACACTGTTTGGCGCTTGCCTGCTTCTCCATCCCCCTTGTCTCCTGATTCATTGGCCACTCAGTCTTTAGATATAAGATGGTGGTTCTGCCCCAGGTCTTAGCACAGGTCAATCCATCTGCCTGGAAAACTCTTCCACCAAGTCCTTGGCAGCCTGATCCCTTCCTCCTCCAAAGTCTCCGCGGCAGTGTCCCCTGCCCTGAGTGGACTCTTTATAGTGTCTCCGCGGTTCCTGCTGCCCTTAGACTTCTTGCAGTGTTTTTATTTTCTCGGGCCCTTGCCTCTCCCCGGTAAGTTGCCATACACTTGTTTGCCTCTGAAAGATGGAGTTTTCAGAGGATAAAATTTATCTTCCTCACCACCTTATCACAAAGAACAAGATCAAGTTAAGTCTCCAAAAAGATGTTTATTTAGTGATTGATGGATTGATTGATTGGTTGATTGGATAGACAGATAGACGGAGGGATGTCTTGATGTATGAATGGGTCACTCACAATCCTATGACTTCTCCTTGTACTTAGAATAGAAACTAAAGTACTATAACCTGTAATCAGATGTTTCCTATCCTGACTGCCCACTCCCAAATAATCGACTCAGAAGCTGAATATGAGTTATAAATGTTCAGTAGATAGCTCAGGCTTATTACTAGCTAACTCTTACACTTAAATTAACCCATATTTCCTATCTATGCTTTGCCACGTGGCTCATGGCTTGTTACCTCATTTTCTACATGTCCTGCTTCCTCAGCAGCTATCTGGCTTGTGTCTCCCCTGACTCCGCCCTCGTTCCCATCATTCTCTTTGGATTTCCCACCTAATTTCCTGCCCAGCTACTGGCCTATCAGCTTTTTTATTAACCAATGAGAGGAATACATATTCACAATGTACTGAAGGTTATTCCACAGCAATAACCTTAATGGCCTTGCATGTTAGTCCTTGCATCTCTGACTTCTCTTCCCCTAACTCACCAGCCTATGGTCCACATGCCAGGGAGACCTCCAGGACTCTCTTCTTTGTTTGTCCCTGCTGTATCATTAACCTCCTCTTATTATGATGAACATTCCTGAAGCCAGGACTATATTTGTTTCTGTTCTTGGTTCTAGCTCCATCTCCCACAATAATGCCTGGAATACAGTAAACAAATAGGTACCAATGAAGGATGAGAAACAAGATGAATGAAAAGAAAGCTATATGGGAAAAAGAAAAGGAGGGTGGGTCATCTCCCAGGTGAAACTATGGAGAGAGTTTAATGAGATAACCACATAGATCAGCTTAGCACAGTGCTTGGTGGGGGGAGGGGAGTGAGTAACCAGTTAATAATTGATATTTAATTTTCCCTATGTCTTCTTCTTGGTTTTAGTAAGACTAAAATTCCCAACAAACTTACAGTTAAAGCCTAAGAAGAGAGTACTTTGGCCCTGAGCTTCTGGAGATCTGGCATCTAATGGAAGGGCAAGAAGAAAGTTTGCCCTTCCATCTCAGCTTGCAAAGGACACGAACTTCCCAGAGGCACATGTGAAACTCACTCTACTTGTTTAGCTTGGGCCTGTGTAGACAACTACTGCATTGTGTAGAGCAAGAATGAGGATGCCCCATTTATTAAAAACTTTATGCCGGGCAGTGGTGGCGCACGCCTTTAATCCTAGCACTCGGGAGGCAGAGCCAGGTGGATCTCTGTGAGACCAGGCCAGCCTGGTCTACAGAGCGAGATCCAGGACAGGCACCAAAACTACACAGAGAAACCCTGTCTTGAAAAACAAAACAAACAAACAAACAAACAAAAAAACCCAAAAAAACTTTGTCTTTCTCTGTCAGGAGAAATGTCACATATGATTTTCATGTATAATCATGGAATTCCTGTTGGGGTTGTATTTGTGAATAGTGGAAGCAGAAATACACACTATTGGGACTGTTTAGAAAATCTTAAGACACTGAACTCATAGATTCTAAGAACCTTGAAGCCAGAGCCCTGGAAATTCAGAGATCAATTCCTACTCTGCTTTCCAGTCCCATGCTATTTGCTCAGCCCGTACTTGAGGAGTCTTTTCCATGAGTAATCACAGTCCCTCCCCTCTAAGCTAGGAGAGCAGTGTCACAGAGTCTCCACAGAAGCCCACCAACCACAGCACAGATGCAGCAGCATTAGCAATATACCAGAACGTGCAGATTAGAGAGTGTAAGTCCTAGCCTTGATTCCAGGCAACGCAAGAAGGCTTTTTTAGGGAACTGTCACTGGAGTTCAGCCTTAACAAAGTGGTTGTTGGTAAGAAAGGAGTCAGCATCCCACAGTCAGGAGGGGTAGGCACAGTCTTGGATGTGAGAGAGTCACCGAAGGCTTTGATAGCCAATGCTGGAGTGCTGAGAAGCCAGTGGTGTGAGTGGAAGATGTGTGTACTAAAGGTTGAAAAGTAGGACAGTGCTGTTTGCTGAGAAAAGAATCTAGACATGAATCCAGGTTGTGCTGAAGTAGCAGAACAGAGATGATCAGCAAGACAGTGATGTAAGCAGGTGTGTGTTTGGGTCAGCAGGTTCTCACTGCTGGATGGAGACTAGTCAGATGGGAGAAAGGCTAAAGCCAGCAGCCAGCAAAGTGGTCAGGTTTACCAAACAAATGTAAATAACACCCTACATGTTTTCCTGTCCATACTCAGATGAGCCAGAGAGCAGGCATCAACAGCTTCCCAAAATAAAGCCACTGCCTTCCATTGAGACCCTCGGCCCGCCTCCCAAAAAGCCTTCAAAACCCCCATTTGTGGACCTCCAGGCCTTCCATAGGCAGCCAACTGCTGTCTCCAAGACCCTGAAAGAAGGTAAGAGGATGCACAGAGCCTACCCACACCAGTCAGAGTCATAGTCCAGTGCCTGGACCACATGCCCTTCCCTCTCCACCCCACTTCCATGTAACAAGCTGTTCTTCCAAGGGGCTGAACGTTATTACGGCTGTTTGCATCACAGCTATGGCAGTTTGCCCTTAAAATGACACATGTGTAGGAATTGGCCCCTTATCACTCCGGAGCCAGTCCACTTCCCCCTGAGAATACTGCATTGCATCACTGGGAATCTGTCCAAGAGGAAGAAAATGAAAAGTCTCCAAGCAAGGAAGCATGGAGCCTTTGTATGTGCTGTACAACCTGTGCTGTAAACAGTCAGTGAAGGAGGAAGAGGAAGAAAGAACAGGGGGAAAAGTCAGTGTAAGCTTGACCTGACATACTTACTAGGATCCCCTTGGGTCCCTGTGCCCTGCACCCTCTGTAGGATGTGAGGCATCCCGGGAAGCCATTTTCCGTGTTCTTTTTGTCTCTCCCTCTGCTATTTAAGGGAACACCTCTGGTCCTTTCTATTCCTGCCTCGACATCATCTTCCTGACTTCTTAAACACCTTTTCTTGCTCCCTCAGTGAACATGCGGGGAACGCACACTTTGGGCGTTGTGCTGTGGGTGCCGTGCGGGGATGTTGGTTTTACTGTGGCCATCAGTGCAGCAGAAGGTGGGGTAGCAGAGCTAAGACAAGCTTTGGTTGTTCATTTGTGTGCTTTGGGCAACCTCACAATTGAATCTCCCTAACTCAGTGGCTTTCATATGGGAGCCAGCATCAGAATCACCTGAGGACTTTTTAAAACTCATCCTCAGAGCTTCTCATCTTGGGGGAGCCTGAGCATTTGCCTTTTAAGTGGGTAGTGGCATGCTGACCCTGGAAACCACACATGGAGAATCTGCACTACAGGTCACCTCCAGCCTTACCCTTTGAGAAAGTTCCCATGCAGGGACAGAGCTTTCATAGGTGTATAGTGGTAATGTGGCCAGCTTCTCATCAGAGAAGACTAAGTGTGATTTTTTTTTTTTAATTTATCATTTTGTTTTTTTGAGACAGGGTTTTTCTGTGTAGCCCTGGCTGTCCTGGAATTCGCTATGTAGTCCAGGCTGTGCCCAAACTCAGAAATCTGCCTGCCTCTGCTTCCTGAGTGGTGGGAGTAAAGGCATGAACCACCAAGTCCGGCAGTGATTTTTATGAACATTAAAGAACTCAGGCTTCAAACAATTGCCCCCAAAGGAAAGATGACTGACTAGAACAAAAGGCTGAGTCTATTATAATAAAACAGGCTTTGTGGATCTCAGCTCCTTCCCAGTAGCCATTTCAGTTTGAGCATGGTACTCACTGAGCCTCATTTTCCTGTCTTGTGAACTGGGACACTGTGGTACCTCTAATCTTGTGGAATTGTTGTGAGAAAGTATTCTGACCATGCGTGGCACACAGCACATGCTCAGTAAATCTAAATGTCATTTAGAGTACACGTTAAGTAGTTCTCTCTGCCAGGCCATGTGGTAAAAACAAGCAATTAAGAAGTTAAACCAGCCGGGCGGTGGTGGCGCACGCCTTTAATCCCAGCACTCGGGAGGCAGAGGCAGGCGGATCTCTGTGAGTTCGAGGCCAGCCTGGTCTACAAAGTGAGTTCCAGGACAGGCGCAAAGCTACACAGAGAAACCCTGTCTCGAAAAACCAACAAAAAAAAAAAAAAAAAGAAGTTAAACCTACACAGGGGTTCTGGTCCTTAAGGAGGCCAAATTGCCCATAAATAACACCATCAAATGTAGGTATGTGCGACTGTGCACGTACCTCTGAGTACCAGGGTGGGAGCGTCATTCACTTTAACCAGCCTGCAACCAACACCCCCTTTTCCTTCTGCCTCTTGCTCTTGCAGTGACTGTGAAGGAGGGCCCCCTGACTCCAGATGGGTGAGTACCTGTTCCTCTCCTGTGGGGGAGGGCAGCCCACTGGGGAGACTCATGGGCCTTGTCAAAGGCAGGCAAGAATCTCAGAGCCAGTATGCATATCCCCCAGAAAGGCTGCAGGAAGAACAGACATACAAAGCAAACAGCAATTCTTGGTTTTAAATAAAAGATGAAATAAGATGCATTTCACTGCTGCACTGATGCTAAGTTGCACACGTCATCCTCTGAGGTACTTGGTACTTCTTAATTGTCCAGGTAGGTTTAGTATATTAACATTGGCCTTCTTAGTTATAAATCAAAGAAGAGGCTGAGAATGCTCTGGGCAGCTGTGGTGTTAGGAGTTGGAAATGGGATAAAAGATGTTCTATTTCTGGTGCCCCCTCCTGAGAGTTTTGTTAGGGGAGAGTCAAGTCATTAATTCACTTAGCTAAATAATATCTCTTGAGCTTTTGAAGTGGTCTGCCTTGGGCCACCTGGTTTTTGTGGGTTTGCTCTTTTGCATGTCTCTTGGGGGCTGCAAAGCTGCTGCTGCAGCCCTCATTTTATGGGCCCAGATGCCCAGCTTCAGAAATGCTCCACTCACCAAGCCATGATTCCAATCCTGAAGTGTCCAAACTGTTTTGACTCAGCCTCACTCCCTCACAGAGATGTTCTTGGCAAGGACAGTCGTAGGAAGAGAGGCAAGCTGACAAACAAGCCTATTCCAATGCTGCCATCAGATGTTCATAGTAGTCAAGCATGCTATCTACAATAGAGGAAGCACACGGTTCAGAGGTTGCATCAGTGAGAGAGCAGCCATGTGTCCTCAGGAGGGACCAGGAAGTCTTTAGAGAGGTATTCCTCCATTGCAACATTAGTAATCCTTAGTGAAAGCAGACCTTTAATACTATGAGTCCTTGGGGACAGCTGATGGGGACTCCAGAGTAGCGCTTGTGTTATCAGACTAGTAGTGGTGCTGGCTGGAGTTGCTCACATTTCTGCAGCTCAGCTGGAAGTTGGCTGATTGAGAATTGCCCTAGGATGGGATGCATAGACTTGGCACAGACCATCATCATGAGACAGAAAGGTTCTCCTCTCTGGGGCAGCAGACAAGACAGTAGCATAAACAAGCACTTTCCCAGCCTTTCCCAGGTCGCTTTCACTCACAATCTATTGCTCAAAGCACCTCACTGGCCAAGTCCAGAGTCAGGCTACAGAGACACTGAAGACTCACATGCCAAAAGATGAGGAATGAAGGGAGGGTGGTATGTGAGGTTGTTAATCCCCTCAACCCATCAGTGAAGAGGGAACTCTTGAGTCCAGTGGTGAGGATGAACGTTTACTCGATATAATTCTAGTGAAGAGATGCTAAAGGAAGAGACAGGAGGTGTGTGGAGGTAACTTGTCTTTGTGGAACAAGAGAGTTGAGTGAAATCAGAATGTGGACAGTATAGACATGGGATTGAAGAGCGGACAGGAGCATTGTGAAGCACCTTGTGCACCCATGGATTGTTGAGGTGGCCCTGTTCTACCAGGCAGTGGTTGTGTTGTGCTAGACATAATTCATTTGCTCAGGAAATTCCTAGTGTCATGTCCATTTGAAAGAGTTGATTGCCAGGTGGGTGGGTGAAGCTGCAGTTCTGTGAAAGAGACAATAACATAGAAGGTTCTAGCAGTGGTTCACACTAGCCACTCCGTGCTCACAGGCCCAGAGTGGCCTGAAGTAGCAGCACACTGCTGCCGTGCTCTGAGTCAGTCTGGCCTCACGGCTGCCATTCTGAAAACATCTCAGAATGAGTGTAACTATGCTTGGCATATTGGCACTAAATGAAGATTTCTCTGGCATTTTAACCACAGCAACAGCAAGTCATTTTACACCGAGAGCTGTGAGGGGCCTTTGGGAGACAGTTTCCTGTGTGGCACTGTCTTCCTACAGGATTTATGAAGGCAATTTTGACTCTTCTCCCCTGTCACACTGGCTTTAGAACACAACTCCCATCTGAACTTCTTGTTATATGTGAATTGTGACGTAGGCACATATGATAAGAATGAAAGGCACAGGAGATAAGGAGGGCCCACAGTACTCAGAGGTGGAGTCATGAAAGAGGAACTAATTTGAGGTCTAGCCTACACAATAAGCAGGGGTTAGATAGGTCAACCAGTCTCTTTCATGATACTGTAATATAAAACTGAGATATAAGCAGGGCATTCCTCCTGGTAACACACACACACACCTGACAGGTAGCTGGTTGATGGATGGATGACTTGATGGGCAGTCAAGATGGAAATACAATTAGGTACAATAGCACATGTTTATAATCCAAACACTAAGGAGGTTGAAGCAGAAAAATTGACATAAGTTCAGGGACAGCCTGGGCTACATAGTGAGATCCTGGCTCAAAAAATGAAGGAACAAAAACGAAAAAAAAAAAAAAGAAAAGAAAGATGAGAAAAATGTGTTGAATATATGTAATAAAGAGGGATAAACAGACAAAAAGTATCCTGATGTGGAAAAATAATTGATACGTTCAGATTATAGAAGAATACAGTCAATCATCTATACCTGTGGGTTCTGATCTATAGATTCAAATAAACCTTAGGTGAAAAAAGTTTGGAATAGATTCTGTCTGCTGAGCATGTAAAAACATCTTCACATCCTTATTTTCTGAGCACATGGTGTCGCTGCTATCTCCACACACTGGTACCATACTCGGAGTGCTAATAAGCTGGAGGGAAGTGTGCGGGAGAAGGTGTGTAGGTTCTACATACATACTAAGTGTTGTATAAAGCAAAATGGCCATCTGTAGCCTTGGTGTTTACAAGGGATTCCAGAAGCAATTCCCCATAGATACTGAGGGGCAGGTAACTGTGTATTAAAACCTTGCTAAGGAGTTTGGACTCTGTCTTGTCAATGACAGGACAGATGTTAGCTTGAACATGTAACTGTCATAATGCCCAGTAGCCTTAGATATAATTTCCATGGAAACTGGGGCTTGCTGGAAAAGAAAAATCTTCCTTGTTCATGTATTTACCTTCAATACAGATATTAGATTTAGGCATAGACTATCATAACTGGAAAAGAACTTGGCAGTTTTCTGATACAGCCAGGCCATGAGCATGAAGATAATGGGAGCCTCGGTTTTGAATGCCAACACTACCACATAACATTTGTAATATTGAGCCTGCCTTAACCTCTGCAATCCTGTTTCTGTTCTTATGCAATACTGAAATGAGGTGAGGATTGTAAAGTGTTCATTACAGTGTCTGGCATCCAGAGAGTAGCTCACTTACCTATTATGTAACATCCCAAAGAATAAGAATAACACGAGACCTCTACTTCTCAAACACCTATTGATGGGGAACTCGGTAACTAGAATACGCAGTACCTCTCTTTCTCTGTTAGATCAAATTTTAATTCAATTAACACATATTTCTCCAGTACATTCTGTATACTGAGCACTCTTTCAAATTAAGTTGGGAGAAAAATTGGCCTCCATACCCCAAAGTTTCAACCATTTGTCTCATCTGAACTTGAGTCTTATGTACAGCAGACAGGACCTTTAACCCTCCTTCTCAGGATGGTACTTAAAGCATAGAATGTCACCTTTCTATAAATGAAAACACTTGTCTTTGATCTTTGTTGATGAAGTCTTTGTATTTTTGCTGTATTGGGGGGAGGGACACACGTTATAATCATCTTGATAAGAGCTCAGTGCCATCAAAGATGGCCATCTTTCATTTCTGTACCTCTTCCTACGCTGTTCAATCTGAGCAACAGATACTCCCAGAGTCAGAACAATAATAAGATCAAGCTCCTCTTCCACACTTGAGAGAAGTAGCAACATGCCAGAGCTTTGAAGTTTGCATCTGCAAATGGACATATGATAGGATTTCCTTGAATGTGTTGTGGGGACCAATACCACCAAGCAGTACATAGATGATGCCCAGTGCATCTTAGCTACTTCTTCAACACCACCTCACCATTCTTGTTTGTATCTGAAATATTAATGTCTCGTTAGCTCACAACAGCTCTTTAGAGGATGTTCTTCTCATCATTCTTTCATGCAAACCAAGCTGGCTGCCATCCCTCTTGCATCAGCAGTCAGAGCTTGTGTGAACAAAGCAGGTTGGTCCCTGGGCAACAGCTAGCTTTAGGTCACTGTCAGGACTTAGCACGGTTGGCTAATGTTTTATTCATGAGCTCTAAATACAGCTTTCTCCCTTTAAATAGTAGCAGAGGGTAATCCTGATTCAGGAAATGGCTGACTTCCATGAGAGAGAGCGAGAGGCCATTTACTTCAGGAGTAAAAAAAAAAATACCCATATATATGGGGCCTCTGAAGAGCCTGCAAATAGGTTCATAGGAGTCTACCACTTTCTCATCACGTGTGTGTGTGTGTGTGTGTGTGTGTGTGTGTGTGTGTGTGTGTGTGTGTGTGTGTGTGTGTGTGTGTGTGTGTGTGTTGTGCTGGAGACAGAGTCCCACTATCCAGTCCAAGCTAGCCTTGAATATATGGCCACTTTGCCTCTACCTTGCAAGAGAACTTTAAAAAACAATGTTAAGATTTATTTTTAATACTTCTAATTATGTGTATGTATGTTTCAGTGTATGGGTATGTGCCACTGTGTGCAGGTATGGGTCAGATCACCCTGGAGTTGGAGCCAGCTGCTGATCTGGGTGCTGGGAACCAGGCTGGGTAGATGCTCTTAACCATTGAGACTCTAAGAGAACTTTGTTTTTTTATGTCTCCATTTCACAAAAGTATCAATTTATTTTGAGGCACGGGGCTGGTCTCTTTCATCCCTGGTGTTTTGGAACATACTTTTGTATCTATGCTTTGGTATGCCTACCCCATGCAGAGTGGAGCACAAAGCTTTCAAGGGCTGGAAGCTATTTGACAGTGTCAAGGTCACTCTGCACTAGGAGCAGGGAGTGGTTCGTCCCATGGAAGCGGGGGCAGGTGCCTCACATAGGGTAAAGAGATAAAAAAATAACGATAATAGCAGCACTGAGAACAGACAAA